GGAAAATTTTAAAAGAAACAAAAAAGGAAAAAAAGAAAAAAAAAGGAAAAAAAAATAAATCCCCCCCCAAAATTTTTTGAACCCCCATTATGATTCATCACCCCCAAACTCAATCCCAGCCTTCCCTTTGTGGTATGGTACCTTGCAGTACAATTTCAGAGAGATCCATACACTTGAACACAAGTTATTGTCTGGAAACTAGAAAAAAATGTGTTTTTTGGCCCCTTTTTGGCCCCAAATTCCTAAACGTTTAGGGCAATTACCCCCAAACTCAAACCCAGCTTTCCCTTTGTGATATGGAACATTGTAGTACAATTTCAGAAAGATCCATACACTTACACACAAGTTATTGTCATGAAACTAGAAAAATGCTTGTTTTTTGCCCCTTTTTTGGCCCCTAATTCCTAAAATTTGGAGGCAATTACCCCCAAAATCAATCCCAGCATTCCTTTAGTGGTATGGAACCTTGTGGTACAATGTCAGAGAGATCCATACACTAACACACAAGTTATGTCTGGAAGTTACAAAAATGCTTATTTTTGGCCCCTTTTTGGCCCCTAATTCCTTTACTGTTATTACCATAACCCCCAAAATCAATCCCAACCTTCCTTTTGTGGTATTGAACCTTGTGGTAAAATTTCATAAAGATCCATTTAACTTAAACTAAAGTTAGAGTGCGAAAACCAATGTGTCTTCGGACGACGCCGGACGACGACGACGACGACGACGACGCCAACGTCATACCAATATACGACCACAAAAATTTTTTTGCGGTCGTATAAAAATTGGTATCCACGAAAAAATAAATGAATCCACAGTACCTGATATTTATGTACAGTAATGCAACCTAATCATGAAACTTATTATTAAATGAAAGTAAACATGAATCACTGAGCTGAAACTAGGTACAGGGTCAGGTCACATCTGCTGAAATAACAGACATTTCCAACTAATGTGTCAACTCACACATCAATCTCGTCATAACTAGAGGCTCCAAGGAGCCTAAATATCTTTTCATCTTGCAACTGACCTGTGCCCTTTTTTTTACCTTAATGATAATGATGATAATGATGGATGGTTGTTTAATGTCCAGTGGCAACCTTAAATGCATATTCAGGACAAGAACGTGTTAATGGAATATAAATATTTACCCTGCTTTGTACTAGACTGACACGCTGAGCTAGATTTTTTCTGTGCTATTTCACAAGGCAACAGTCAGCAGGAAGACATGTCACCCTACCTGGACACATTATTCCAACTCTGAGCTGACCAGTCTTTGCTCTTACTCTTTCAAGCTGAGTGCTAAGGGGAGAAGCAACAAATACCGGTACCAATTATGAAGTCTTTGGTTTGACCCAGCCAGGGTTTGAACCAATGACCTGCTGCACTGTGAACATGCTACCACTAGATAACCAAGGCTGTTTACTTAATGATCTAGGAATCATATTCTGTGCGAGTCTGAGAGATATTCTTTATACAGTAACAAATGGTTGGCTCTTAATTGACAGATTCAAATTTATAGATAGACAGTATCTAGATGTCTTGTGGTTATCTGTGCACATTTTAAGTCTCACTATTATTAAGCTTTACCACCTAATTCAGATCTTATACACACAGTAACCTGTAATCATATAACTTGGGTGTAAGTATGCTCCGGATGAGAACAGCAAGATCTCATTCAAGTCCAAGTTCATTTTTTCAGATACAAAGTGACCTACATTTCAGTACTTTTCATACAGGTTCATTTTCACTTCAATATGAAAAGAAGGAGATGTTAGATATACATCAATGAGATAGCACCACAATACCAAAAATATCCATAAGTCATCTAGACACACACGTTTAATTGATATCTCATTGATGTATATCTAACATCTCCTTCATTAGATATACATCAATGAGATAGCACCACAATACCAAAAATATCCAGAAGTCATCTAGACACACACGTTTAATTGATATCTCATTGATGTATATCTAACATCTCCTTCATTAGATATACATCAATGAGATAGCACCACAATACCAAAAATATCCAGAAGTCATCTAGACACACACGTTTAATTGATATCTCATTGATGTATATCTAACATCTCCTTCATTAGATATACATCAATGAGATAGCACCACAATACCAAAAATATCCATAAGTCATCTAGACACACACGTTTAATTGATATCTCATTGATGTATATCTAACATCTCCTTCATTAGATATACATCAATGAGATAGCACCACAATACCAAAAATATCATAAGTCATCTAGACACACATGTTTAATTTTTATACAAGTATTTTTTATCTGACTGTGATAATGATTGTGAAAATATTCCCTTTATTTACATGATTATTTGTTTAAGTTAAAGAGATAAAACTGATGAAATCTTCCACTTGTTCTTACAAGATCTTGTCAATCTTTTCTCCTTTATGAGTTACCATGACTAATCACCAAATTTGAAATTATCATGAGCAACAAAATGAATGCTTCAATTGGAGCACGGCATGCTTTCTCTTTCAAGGTACACAAGTTTATCTCAAACTTTTGATGTTCAAGTTGCTCAATCTTAAGTTTTTAGTGAAATGCTAGGCAAACAGTGTTGGTCTTCCCCTGGTTACGATATTTTCCTCAGATTATTCTTTTGTTTTTTTTATCCCCTCCCTTGGTATCTTCTTACTTATTTAGCAGACAAACTCAAACAGAAATATACAATTAATATATTTATTTCAACAATAAAACAGTATATTAATGTATAGATAGATTTACAGTGTAAATATTTAATGAGTGATGGAAGGAAGAACAATAAAATTGTATTCCATAAATATACATGCAAGTTCTGATTAAATGGATTTATATTATTCATATGTTTTGAAGTAGGACAAAAATACGCTTAATTTGTCCCTGTCAGAAATTTATATAGATGTAAACCCATAAAAAATGGAGTCATTTAATATATAATGTAGGGGTATTTGTTACAAGATTGTGATCTATGATGGAGTATACTGTGTTTTTTTTTACTGACAACAGATAATTCTTTTTGTTTTAAAATCAGTGTAACAAAAAGAGGTATGAATTCATACTTACACAATATGAAATGGCGAATCTGATGATTTTTTTTGGGTGAAAATAGGCATTGTTAATTTATTTATCTATAAATTTACATAAAAAAGGTGAAAGGTGTTAGTCATTTTAGTTTAAAAAATAAATGCTAAACCACTACTCGAACAAAAAATTATTTAAGAAAAATAAAAAAATTATATGAAGTGTTTTTCAAAATATTTTTTTGAAATGGACTGAATTTGAGTAAATATTTTGCATTAAAGACATTCAATAATTAAAGGAAATGTGGATTATGTCTGTAAACGCTACAAAATATGTAAAATGTGAACTAGTCATTTCAATTAATGTACCATAAATGTACAAAGTGATATGCATTACATCAGATCTTGTACTATTTGTAGTAAGATATATTGTCAGGTTTTAAATTTCGAATGATTAACAGAAGTTTTTTTTACCTCTGTTGATCTTTTTCCATAAAAAATTATGAATAAAAAACATCTGCCAAATATATACAGTACTCACGATAAGGTTAAAAAATATTCTTTTAACAAAAATTGATTCACTTAATTTGGTTTATTGAATTATTCAGTTAAATTAATTGAATCAGACCTTAATAAATGGTTTATGTAATTCTGTGGTTAAATATCCAATGTGACTACTGTAAAACCTCAAAGTGACAATAAATTTTTTTTCTACTTTTCCATTTCTACACTTGTCAACATTTGTGCTCACTTAATCATTAGATAAGAATCTACTATAGATATAAAGGTTGGATGGTCAAAAGGTCAAGCCATTATCATAAACATATATAAATCATTTGTTTCTGTGGCCTGTCTATAACCACAGGAAGAAGTTTCATAATAGAATTCGTAGGCAAATATCACTAACAATGTATGGTATAAAAATCAACAAATAGCACTGAAAATTAACAAAAATAGCTTCATCATTCAGCTAAAACTTCAACAATTAATGTCTTCAAAATATAATTGATCATAAATATTGTCTAAAATTTTATCACCATTGTTACCGTTGTCAAGAGGTTAACATACAACATACACATAGATATTCAAGTTTCTCAAAATAAACTTGAAGTATCTGAAGCTTTAATCTCATTTTTTAACTCAGGTTTAAAATTAAGGTTTTTGCTGGTAACATACACTAAAAAGAAAAAACTTTTGACTTAGGTTCAGATGATCCCCTAAATTAATTGGAGTTACCTTTACAGATTTTTTCTTTCTTTCATGTACGTAATATTGACCTCTTGAAAATGAAAATTTATGTATAATCAAAATAAAACAGATAATATACTGTCTTATAATATATTACTCTTTTCCTCCTTTTAAAAAAAGAACACTGTGAGATAAATGTACTCTAGCAATAAATCCCCATTATTGGGATAAATGCATGCACTTATCAGGAAATTTAAAACATTTCATTGGTCTATATACAAATCAATATAAAAATATTTTGGCAATTTTTTTCACTAAGCAAGATAATAATTTGAATTGCACACATTTACAGCTACATATATGTCCTTTTCATGTAACTTTATTAAAGTGACATGTTTTTTCTTTGGAAATCATCTCTGTTAATTTTATCACCATTTACATAAAATTCATAATAACTTCTATCTAAAAACAATTAGAAATTTCTGTTCTGATTTAATGATTTCTATTTTTGTTTAGTAAACCATCCAATCAAATGATTTATTTATTGCATCCCTTCCAATCAAATAGCTGGTTTTTTTTTAATGTGTATCCCTTCCAATTAAAAGGTTTGTTTTACTGGCATTTCATATAGAGGTCAGACATGTCAAAATCTCTGATAGCAGGATATAATATACATAAAATGGTAGTCTGTACTTAGTTTGGTATCAATTCTTTCAGGATTTAAATTTTGGTCTTTAGATCATTTTTTTTCTTTTTTCACTTCAGGATATACCACTTTTGACTTAAATGGCTCCCTACTCTTCTAAAACCACTTTCTTCAATTTTTTCTCATATCTCAAGTCATACTGTGTTTCTTTTCAAAACTAACAAATAATTTTACCAGTGGGCAATATGGTAATTCTAAGGAAAAGCTATAAAAACTGCTCTTCAGTGATTTCATGGAGTTAAGTCCTTATTTGAATTATCAAAAAACAAGGGTGCTTTGTGGGTAAAATACAGTCATATCAATGTTTTGTAATTGTTTCTTATTCTGACTTGTAAGAGAATAAAAAAGTAAGCTGTTTTATGTGCATGTACAATATTGACAGCTGGAAAGACCTTTAATTCTTTGGCAAGTTACATATACATGTCAGTAAATCTGTAACAAACTTTACATGGAGAAATGAAAAAATATTCACATCACTGAACTGATAAAGCACAATAGTAAAGGTTTATTTACAAAATTCATTGAATATATTTCATAAAAATAAATAGCTGTATTAAAATATTTTTCTTAGTAATTATCTATCAAGTTTTGTGGATAATACAAAAATTTTGGCAAATGGAAATCTTGGAACATGCATTTAGTAAAACTATCTTATAAACATGATAAAGGTTAGCAAAAACATAATAAAATGAATTCTACAATACAGAGATTAAAAGGGCATTAGCTACAAGAATAAAATATGTTCAATCATTAATGAAAGTGAAGTGGTGATATAAGAATTCGCTTTTAGCAGTGAGTTTGGTTCAGTTTTGTCAAATTAGGCAAAGAAACATCGCTAATAAATTATTCACTTGCAAGTGAATAATTCAACCTCATTAGTTTCGTATTCATGTGAACTTAAATTGAACCCCTTAGCTAGAGATGGGTTACGCATGAAGTAGGCGTGTTCAGCTATTAAAAAGAAAAGAATGTCAACATTGGAAGTGAAACAAGGGTAAACCATTTGGCTGACTGATTCAATCTACAAAAACTCATTGTTATACAGGTAAATATGAAATCAAACAGACCTAGAAAAATCCAACTGCACGAGTTCGCTATCAATTTATATCTATGTTTATGTTTATATTGGGTCATATGACTGTCGGCAGTCTTCAGAGGTCACCTCGATGGTTAATTAGATGGCGTCTAGACTAAATACACACGAAATACTGATACATATTATAGAGTCTGTGCATTGTAATTGTTTATTTTAGACTTTTCAATATTTGGATATACCTTTTAGTATGTTATAAATCAAATATGAGAATTTGCTTCAAATCGGTGAACATGAATTTGACAGCTAATGCCCCTTTACACAAGTTTATCTGCTATACTGTAAACCAGCTTATTTTCGCAAGCAATTTATGTTTGGGATTTTAACGAAAAGAAAAATAACACAAATTTAAATCATTGTGAATAAATAAAACTTGGGTCTTCCCTTTTATAAATACATCAAGAAAATTAGAAAACAGTGAAAATAAATCGCCACGATGCCTGCTAAAAATGCTAAACACGAAAACAAGTTGCTTTACAGTAGTTTATGTACATGTTCAGGTTAAATACACATCAAAAGTTGTAATTCGTTATATAAAAAAACATTACTAGTTCACCATCTCAAAATCTAAGGAATTGATTGAGTGATTTTTGGTTGCTACTATCCAGTGGCCAACATATGTAGCATAATCAGGACATTGAATCTCTAATTACAGAATAATTGTATACAGAAATTTGTAAATAACAAAACTTCAATGTCTGTCAACTGCTGTTTAATAACAAGAAATGAGATGTTGAGCATACATCAATGAGACGGTAACCCAACAACACAAAATAAGCCAAAAAAGACAACTACAGGTAAATACATTGTCTTCAATAACAGACAAGCTCCTTTTGACCCAAAGTCAGATTATTATGAGATAAGTATTGAATAGGTTTAGAAGAGAATACCAAATATCTATCATCAACACTGAATTCTTTACAGGACACACTTTAGATTTAACTAAAGCCAACCACTAATGAAATACCAGACAAGCAGATGTAAATATTCTGGTCAACAATTGAAAAATATCACATAAAATTCATTAGGTTTTGAAATAGTTATCAAAAAAATTACTGAATTACTATAATTTTATCTTTTGCAGCCTGACATTTCATAAATTATGTGCAAGAATAATAATACTATAAGCAAATAAAAAAATATAGAATGTGAAAAAAATCAGACAATGGAGACAAGAAAATATATTATATATATAATGATACAAAAGTAACTGCCATTTCCTAATATACATTAAAATAATACAGATATAAAATTTTGAAAAAATTAATGACTAGAAAAAAGAAACTGTTTCATTTGTTTTTCTGACCTCTTATGATATATATTATTGATAATAAATAATTTACAGAACTTTTATTGCAATTTTCCTTCATAAATTTGTTTGTCTTGGTTTTATATTTTTTTCAAAAAGGGATCATTAAATAAATCTGCAGCATGATTGTAAAGACATACAAAAAAATGACCCTTGAAGTTCATCAACAATAAAATATATTCTTTCATATTTCATGCTTTCAAAATGTAAAACACCCAAATATTGCTGTATTCAGTAAAACTTGATTTCGGAACATGAATTGTGCATTTAATGCTTAAAATTTCCCTGACATCCAATCTAAGCAGATGCTTCTATATAAATACAATGATGTCTGATTGTCCAAAATAATTGTTTAACACAATAAATGATTCAGATCTGGTTTGAAACCAAAAGCATGTATGTTTAGTATTACTATCTAGTACCATTTCTCAACTTGAGTAAATTTCAAAAAACAAGATATTAAAAAATTCTATTGAGCGTTTTGAATAGTATTTTACTACCATTCTAAATTTTTGAAATGTTAATTCACATACCAGCAGCTCTTTTCTTGAAAACTATTACCATTAGAATTTATCGTACGTTGTACAGAAATTTCCATGACTTGCTAATCCTACACTTACTAAAAGAGTCTCTGCTCTTAAACAATTTATACAGATGAAAATTTAAAGTCAATAAACATTTTAACAGACACTCTTTTTCTGTGGATTCATATATATATAAGTGGATACCAATTTTATTGGATTGGGAAAATATTGTGTATTCATGAATAATTGATTTTGTGGATTTGCCAAAGTCTGCATACAAGCCTATATAAAATAACACTTTGTTGAATATTTAAATTCACGTTTTAACTATACCCACAAAATCCACGAACATTGTTAGCCCACAAATAATTAAGAATCTACAGTAGTACATTTGAAGCATCGTAGGTATTAGGGCAGGTAGTCATTTCTCCTGACACTCTCATTTGTTATTTGAATGTTCATCTGATGTTACTGAATTGAAAACTTGGTTATAAAAATATTTATTTTCTATACAGAAACAGGGGAACATATTTCTTATTTTCTGTTTGGTAGTTTAATTCTAAATAACTTTGAACTCAACATTATTCTCTAAACTTTACATTTTCAAAATATTTCAAATCTGCTGTTTTGTAATTTACAAAATGGAACGGTTACGGTTTTTACTGGCTGTTACTATGTTGGCAGTGACAGGAGTCACAACGCTAGGAATACTATGTACAATTAATCATTTATTTATCACAAAGTAGCGTAAAATGGAAATATGGAGTTATTTGACAAAGAAAAAACATATGTATAGCCAATGGAACTTGTTTTACATAAAACACCCAAACTAAACAAGAAACATTTTTAAATACAAAGTGAAGGATATATCTGTTATTTCATTGGAATACTATTAAATTTCATATTTGGTTCTTTAACCCTGATATCAGGTCATGACCTGTATCAGAAATATGGCACTACCAAAAGTATTTAAACAAGGTTAATCAAAGATGTAATTTGTGTATTTGGAAATTTAGCAGTAGTAAACCAAAAATAAAAAACATTGTGAAAGTCAATGTCATTTTGAAATAATAGTCATTTAATAACTAAATGTGCAACAAAATTTAATCACCCTATAATTTAATTGATGCATGTAAAAGTATTTCATATCAAACAAGTTTCATTGTCAATTAGAGTTAATGTGATGGAATGAATACTAAGGATAGTTGATTTACAACACAACATTGAAATAATCATAAGCTAATAGACAGATTTATAACAAAACTTAACATTTAAAAATCAGATGTAACAACCATTTTGATTGGATAATTAAGAACATATTCAAAACATACAATTTTGTAATGAACCACATTCGTAAATTGAACAAATGCATGTAAAGTTGATTTAGATAAAGGTTTTTCACATCAACTTTTCTGTCCTCAAATTTTATAAATATTGTACAAAAAACGATGATTTTGGTACATGCTGGATATTTATTCAAAGCACCATCTCCATATATATTTCATATGGTAGTGTTCATCTACAATTATATTCAACCCTGATGGACCATACTTCAAAACAGGCTTGTTTATACATTTAAAATACTTTAAAGATTTCAATTTTTTTTTTCAGGAGTGTAAATTTTCACAATTTCTAATACCAAATCTGTTCTCATAGTTTTATTTTCATGCCTCTAATTCTGATATTCCATTTTGTACTTCTTACAGTTTTGGAAAAAATTTCCATAACACTTGGGTTTGTGACATAATACTACTTTCAAACAATGCTCACCTACAGGTTAAAACTTCTGGAATGATGTTTTTGCCATGCATTACAATAAAATATATTATGAAACTCTAACAATAAAGTTAATTGAGTTCATATTATCCAATTAAAAAAGTTGTTACATCTGAACTGATACAATTTAAATATAAGATAAATGATTGGATAATCTTCAGCAATCATCAATTTTCATCATGTTTTCTCTGTCCTTCAACAGTCTTTTTCACTTCACTGAGAGCTTTTGTCTTTATAAAGTCTATTTCTCTGTATTCAGTCGGTGTATTCATTCCCGACTCTGCATGTGTAAGATGGATGGGTTGACTTGTAGGTTGGTCTACCAGGTCCAGTTCTAAGTATTTCAGTTCATCTTTATCATGTTTATCACCCATTTTCATAGGAGGGGGCACTTTATTCCAATTTTGACTCTGAAATGTGAAAATGAAACATTCTTTTAGCCTTTCTCAAACATATGGGCAACAATAAAATGAATTTTAAGTAAGTGTCTCATTATTTTGTTTATATGGTGCAACTTGTGTAAATCATACATAATGTCTTCTTCTCAGTAACATACACACTTTTTAAATTTGGTTGAAGCATTGAGTACAGATACATTTCTGGTTTAGATTATTCCATGATTATGTATCATGCTCACTTTTCATCCCTATTATCATAATCTTGTATTAGATTTGTCAGATTAAGCTTAAGATTTTGATGTATGGTGTGTTTTTATTTCATTTTTTCAGTTTTTATATGAAAAACGCTGAATCAACTTGTTATAACTTCCATAAATGACATCCTTTTCATCTTACAAAATATACTTAATATATTAAGAGGGAAGTTCTGCTTAAGCTTTGGTCTTAAAAAGTTTAAAACTCCAGTATATTAAAATGATGAATCTTTAATTAACTATCTGCTGAAACTGTTTTGCTCTAAGGAGGATATGTCTTTTCGTGACTTGAAGGTTAATACACCTAATTGTTAGTTGTCCACCATTTCTGACCTTTGTAGACATTCCGACAAAATTTGATGTCATAAGAGAAAATTTCTGATGCGACAATGCAAAAATGATTGTTTTACAACATCAATAGCTCAAGTGTCACAAAATCTCAGATCAAGTGTTGCAGATTCAAAAATAGCGATAAAGGCTCTTGATGATTTGTTTTTATCTGAACTCCACCAACAAATTATTTATACAGTATATATTTCAACATCTTTTAAGTATTTTTTTCAACTGCTTCATGACAATATAATTTTATGTGTACACAAACTTATGTTATATAAAGCCATCATAATATTCTAAGATCATAAATACACTGAAATTTATGATGGAATTGTCTTTGTATATAGCAAAATGTTATAAGATCTTCACATAGTAAAATTCACCATTTCTCCTACAAAATAATAAAGACAGTCTAATAAAAAGTATATAATAACTGTAAATAAAACTATAGCAAAGAAAAAGGTATTAAGCATCATTCTAAACAGGTTATAGGAGATAGGGTCTGTATATAATTCCCACATGCAAGATTTTTTTTTTATCTACAACCAGAAATTACATTATAATACAAAGTAGTTTTTCATTTTTGCTTCTTATTTTTTGCCTAATGCTTAATTTCCTAAAATAAACAGACATTATACACAATTACAAAGTCTTCCTTGTTCTAAACAATATATTTAGATGATAATTTAATGTCATAAACCATGAAATATACCTCAGAGTAACCTACTTTTCATTGGATGCTGATTAACCTCCAACAATCCATCTATAAATAAGTTTTGATGATCCACTTACTTAAAAGTATTAAAATATGGAATCAGACATACAAGCTAACTTAGGTCAATGGAGCATGAAATCTATGAATTAGTGACCTATTTTTGTCCAGTAATGATCTACTCTCCAAGATACATCTCAATGCAGATTTATCTTCTGTCAAATAGTTACCTAGATATCAACTTGACATAAAACTTTATTAAGTCAATTTTATCATAAATTATAGGTGAAAGTTACCAACTTATGGGAAAATATTGTCCTTAAGGAAAGGGTGAGACAAGGGCCCTATTCTTTATGATGTCATTATTATGCATTTTTGTGAAAAATACATATATTGTGGTCAATTTTGAACTAGTTTTTAGACTTACATATAGAGCACATGCAAGTACCAACTACATTATTTACCACCATGTTTGTCTAATAAACATCATCTTGTATGTTTATATTTGTTTAAGTGCATGTCCTCACTCATTTCCAACTCACAGCTATGTCTCAAAATATGCATTTTTTTAGATTTTAAAAAGAAAAATCAAATTTCTGATATTAACTTTTGACCACAAAATCTCTGTGAATATTCATAATATTTGAAATTCCTTATGGGTTGAATCTTGCCCATATATATCAATTATCTTTAAGGAAAAGTCATCTCATTCTGTAACACTTCAATCTTTAAACCAAATAGGCTCAAGGGTACCTTGTAGTTTAATAATTACTAGATGAGCTCTATGAAATTGCTGGCATGTAAATTATGTGTATTTTCAGATTTAATGTTGTCAACAAATAAAGTATGTGTAGAAATTGTTGAAAGAAGTTACCGGTAGTTGAAATATTTTTGTCAAGTCCAAAAACTTTATTTCACATGTCATAGACACAAGACTTCCAGAAATTTATCAAAGGACTGTCAGACAGTTGGTCATACAAACTCTCATGATTCATCAAAAGATCAATCTAGCCAAATTAGAAGAACATTCAGAAATCATTTTCTTTTAAAAACTATTCCAAAGATAATCCAAACTGCATATTAAACAGCAAATACATGTATAACAAACTACACTGTGCATGCTAGAATCATACACATAAAGTTAATCTGGTAGCTCGAGAAGCACAATCTTTCATTGACAAACTTAGATTTTCTGAAGGTAAATTACCTATGGATACATTTATATATTTATGCTAGAACTGTACTAAATTTAAAGACTTCTACTTATATGTAATGAATCTGGTTGTAAATAATCATTCCATGCAGACTGATAATGAAGGAAACTATTTTAAAAAGTTAAATGTGAGGAAAGATTTACAACATCAATATATGTAAGAAAAAGGGGAGGATAACTCATAAAGGGAATTAACTCTGTTGATATTTCAGAAGTACATATAAACCTATCATTGTCTCAATTTTTATATAACATCAAAGTTTGTTATTAAGTCAAAGATTAGCTATGACTGCAAAATAACTTTAAATACCAAAATTTTTGCTCTGCTTGTAAAATATGTTAGCAGATCTTATTTGTTTCATAGTTATATTTTGTCTATAAATTAGTGATCTCCTTGTTGGCAATGATTTAAAACTTTATTCGTTGTTCACATTTTTCATGCTTAATACCAAACAAAAATATAAGTAGGAGTTGAATCTTAGCACATTCTTATTTGACTGAATTTCGAAGAATTGTAATATGTTTTAAATGAATGATTTTTAATTGATATTTTTACCATTTAATCTTAAAAAAGGTATCAACTTTAAAGATTTGGATCTATATCAGAGTTAAGTCCCTTTGATAAAATGATCAGAATGATGCGTACCTTTTGATGTTCTTCATATGGATATGGCACCATTACCTGGTCAATGTCAGCGATGCGTTCATCATCCTCATCTTCTGAACTTGTAGTTAAATCTGGATGTGGATTTTTTGGTAAAGGTACGCTATGTTGGAGTGAACGAGATATTTTACCGGTATATGGATCTCTGCCACTGTCAATATAAAAATTTTACCAAAACTCAGAAATTATAACGAATTATGAATACATGTATGTTCTTTCTCGCATTTTAAGTATTGCATACTGTAAAGATGAAAATTTTACAAGAGTTTCTTTTTACTTATTTCATAACTATAAAATACTGGTAAATTCCTCTCTTGTAAATTTGATCTTTCAGATCAGAATCAAGGCAAGAAAAACCATAAAATATCTCAAAAGTAGTGATAAAGTATTGAAATGTATACCTCATAAGGGTTTTACTTGCATTAATTCAATCTTTACCTCCATAGCAACAAGATAACGTGTTAAAGTTATATTGCAATTGTCTGGAAACTTGTGAAGTAGTTTGGAGTAAAAGTGTTAGTTTTAGTAAAACAAGAGTTCACCCCTGAAAATTCTCGCCTGCTTATTTTTTTTAAATTGAATAACACTGATGAGGTCAAGGTCAAATGAACCCTGCCAGACAGACATGTTCACCTTACAATCATTGCATACACTTAATATGGTTGACCTACTGCTTATAATATCTGATTAACTGGCGAAACAGTTAAAACTTAACAATGACCAATAATCCATGACAATGAGGTCAAGGTCAGATGAACTATGCCAGACAGACATGTACACCTTACAATCATTTTATATACCAAATATTGTGACCCCATTGCTTATAGTACCTGAGAAATAGACCAAACTAAAAAATTTAAACATTATTCAATAAACCATGAAATAAATGTCAAGGTCAGATGAAACCTGCCAGTGGGATATGTACACCTTACAATCATCCCATACACAAAATATATTTGGCCTACTGCTTATAGTATCTGAGATATTAACTTGACCACCAAACTTTAACCTTGATCACTGATCCATGAAATACGGTCGAGGTCAGGTTAACCATGTCTGACTGACATGAAGATATTGCAAGGAACCCATATACCAAATTTAGTTATCCTATTACTCATAATAAGTGTGAAATTCACAAGACAAAAAAAAACTATAATTTTTTTTCAAGCAGTCACTGAAAAATGAAATTGATGTCAAGGTAAATGGACATATGACAGACAGAAACTTCGTAACATAAGGTATCTGCTTTACAAGGTATGAAGCTTCCAGGTCTTCTACCTTCTGAAATATAAAGCTTTATACATATAGTTTACTCTGCCGCAGCTGGAAAGTAATCCCTATGTCTCGCATACTGCGATTTCGTCACAGGTGAGACACACATCAGTTGAAAAGGGCTTTACTCATCAGATCAATACAAAGCAGAAACACATCTAACAAAAACACAGACTATATATGGCAGGGTATTTATACATACCTAAAACAAAAAAGACACAAAGTACAGATCTGAGAGTATTCACAGTTACTGACAGATAGTTCAAAGCCAATAATAACTTATAATAAAATGCTCTGCAGGGCCCAGCTTGATACTACCGCAGAGGTCGAACCCTGAACAAATGGGGCAAGTATGGACACAACATTCATGCTGATTCAGCTCTGAATTTAGATTGTGATAAAATATTTCACACAGCATATGTTTCTGACGCAGAATGTGTGTGGTCTAAGAACTTAAAAATTTTAAATTGGACATTTATCTATTATGGTTATTCTGTTTAGCAGTTTCTGAGAAAAGTGTGACGAAAATATTTGTTTAGACAAATGGATGGACAACAAGGTAATTGCAACATAGCCCCCAATCCTAGAGTGAGGGTGTAAAAGATTACTAATGCTTCAGTTCATTATCTTTTTATCAGACATGAAATGATTTCAAGGCCAATAATTCGGCTATATTTTTCAAGTTTAATATTCTCACTTTGTTGTGCTTTAAAGAAATGATGTCTCTTTCTGCAGACATACAATTAACAGGGTCCATTTAGGAAGAGGAGCTTTCCCAGGACTTCAGACAACAAATATGATCATGAGGACATTTTAAAATTTTTTACTGCTGAGTTTGGTGGCACTAGATCCCCCATCTTAAGCCTGCTAAGTGAAAAGCGGAGAAAATTAATCTGATGTAAACATCAGTAAAGGTCTTCTTTGACCAATACAATGTTCTTAGTGGATCAAATGTCAATTTTTTCTTTGTCAAATTTTAACTATAAAATTATTGAATGTCCAGCGAAATTTTGTGTTGACCAGTAAATAATAATTCTCATCCAACACTTTACAAACTATGGAAAACATTGTTCAGCAATCCATCAAACTTGCTCCAGATACATGTAAAAGAACTATTCTTTGTGACTGGTTTCTTCTTCAGTGCTTTTTAATAAATTTTTTGTTTTTTGTGAATCTTGTGATCCTGTTACATGACCAACTACTCCATTCTTAATCAACTTATATTTGTTCAAATTTTTGTACCAAATTACTTTAAAGCTAAACAGCACAAAAATCCTGAGTGAAATACCAACCTTAGACTATCAAATGGTGGATTATTAATGGTGTTATGTTTTTTAAAGCTTCGTGTTCGCTCATTTTTGTAGATGTTTGTGTAGGCATCACCATCTGAAAAGTAAAAAAAAAGTTTTTCAATTCATCATTAGAAAATCGAAAGCATTCTGGAAAATATTTTCAAAAGAGTGCATGAAAGTATTAAAATTGGTAAACGTTGTTGTCTCTTTGACACATTCCCCATTTCCATTCTCAATTTTATTGTCATTAGCATATACTTACAACTTCTCGTCCAATCAAATTGCTTGAATTTGGCTTCTAATTTTCATAGTACATACTTTTTCCGTGTACTAAGTAACTACGCATGAATGACCACAAGGGTAAGATTTCATTGTATCGTAATCAAGATATTAAAACAAAAGGCCACTGGCTATTTTGAAATAAAATGCTGTGTTCCAAATTGAATAAATAGTTTGTAATTAGTTTTCACATTGATTTTTAAATATCCTGCTATTAAAATCTTTTGATCTAAAAAATGTTTTTGACGATTGCAAGTTTTTTTTTTATTTAAATAAAAAGTAACAAATATGGTTCTTTATACCTTGATTAGAGTACAACGCCATCTTGAAATTGTGATAATTTATCATCCATGCAATTACTCGTACACAAAAAAGCGTGTACTATGAAACCTTGTGAAGGGAATGTAGGCAACTTGATCTATTTCGTCATGAATTGATTGATTGATTATTGGTTGCTTAATGTCAAGTGGCAAATATTTCATGCATGTTCAGGACGATGTCATGAATTGAAAAAACGTGATCTTTGATCTTATTGGTAGTTGCTTTTTAATGACTATCCACTAGACTATCTATGGGGACATAACAGGGGTGGATCCAGCCATTTTTAAAAGGGTGTTCCAACCCAGGAAAAAAGGGTGTTCCAACCATATGTCCCCATTCAAAAGCATGTTTCAAACCCCCGGAGCCCCTCGCTCTAAATTTCATAGTATATACCTTTCCATAGACTAACCTAGACTAAACAGACATTCAAGCAAAGACCTAAAATATTCTCATGATGGTTTACAAACAATGAAATTATTCAGTCTTTTATATTCTGCAAAAGTCAATTGTCACTCCTAATGCTCACAATGATGCTAATTAGTCTCTGTTTGAATTGTGTTTACTAATTTAAGGGGTTTCTTGTGACAAGAACAATAGGCATATGCCAGACAGAAACTTGTAACATAGGGTATCTACATATATGTCTTCTACCTTCTTAAATATTAAGCTTTTATAAATGCAAAAAGGTAATGTCCCAATCCGATTAGTGCATTTACCAGGCAAAATAATCAAATTATAACCTTATTAAAATAAGAAATGTAGGTAATAACTCATGATCAACATCAGATTATACAAAAGGACTGAAGAGGTGATATTGAGAAAAATTTCGTAATTTTTTAATTAACCAAAATCTTTTTATTTTTGTTGCAATCCATTCAGTGTTAAAGAAAGGTGAAATACATACCAAAAGGAATCGTAAAAATAAGTAGTTGAAAACAAACTGACAAAGCCATGGCAAAAGTTTTAAACACAACCCAAAGACAAACAAGTCTACAAAACACAACATAGAAAAGTAAAGAACTATACAAAAGGAATCCCATCAAAAACCAGGGGTGATCTCAGGTGCTCTGGAAGGGTAAACAGATCTGGCCCCACATGTGGCACCCATCGCGTTACTCATGTAAGTACAAACCCGGTGATAAGTCTAATACAGTAGGTCATATTCTAGGACGAGGACAGGATTGTGGTTATGACATTTGAAACAAAGTCGCATTATATGATAAACTTGAATAAAATGAGATGGTGTATTTATCAATGAGACAGCACCTCAACAACAAAAATAAAAGACATTAAGAGATCAATATACATGGTTTTCAAAAAAGAAACAAATGCCTTGTTTTTGATGGTAAGTGTAAGCTACTTAAATCACTCTTGAGTCCTCCGGGGAAATATCCCTAGAAAAGATAGCAATAGAAATGTATCTTTTCTCCAGTATTACATTGTGCACATGGGACTGATGTTTCATATACATTCTTCTTGTACCAGTTCATAAGTTCATGTCTGAAGTTTAAGTCAGATTGCCCCAATTAACTGTTTAACAACCAAATATGTAACTATAAAAGACTTATTTTACATGTATCCTCAGATAATTTTATCATGATACCTAATTATTAATATGTAGTGTCAATCATCATTTTAAAAATTTAATTCTTTTCTTATGTGTCATTTTCTTTTTAATACTATATGAAGTATTAAACATCTGTAGTCCCTTTACCATTAATACATCAATCAGAATGATGACGCAACAAATTATCTATTTGAGAGTAAAACGTTCATTTAAGTTTATTTTGCATGTATCGGTGGACCATGAAATCAATAAAACCTGTGTTTACTAAACATTTGATAATTTGACACAGTTTTCATTGTTAGCCAATCAAATGATGGATGCCTGTTGAACCAGAATGTCCAGTTTGTTTGATGATTTACTGTTAATAAAGAACTAATGTTTCATCAACCAATTCATCAAGTCACAAATTATCTGAATAAAGACTATCAGAATTCTGAGTGTGATATAGTGCATGTATTGTGTAGACACTTGTTAAAGAGTATATGGCCATATGCTGACCTCTTCATATTTCTTTTGGTGTTGTTGGGTAGTTGTCTCAATGATATATACTCTGTGTCTTTTTCTAATTTAGATTCTATGTATAGACTACATCCTCAAATAGTTTAGAGTTCTCCAAAAGTGGTGGTCTGAAGGTCCTGACATCCAAAAATTTTGGTATTTTGCAATAGAAATAATAGTGATCCAGCAGTTTTTTAAGGACCACCAGGGAACAAAATATTTCGAGAACTCTTAAGTTTAGCTGTAAAAAATAAAATAAATCTGCATAGGATGATAGCTATATATTCTGACCAAATTTTGTCCTGTTACCGATAAAACAAAAATTACTTACTGCAAGGTTTTGGGATAACTTTACTAGTCCTAGGCGGACGCTGTGGAGGCGGATGATCGTATACATTCAACTCAGACATAAGTGTGTAACTGTCATGTGATTTTCCACTATCTGATATAGAAGAAGTCCTATCTGCTACAGCAGGCGGTACAAGACCGTCCATTGCTAAATACATATCCTCATGTGCATGTGACACAGGTCTAGTTGCAGCGTTTATATAACTATGGGAATCAATACCACATCCAGGTGGAGGAATCACTAATAAACTAGAACCACTCTGTCCTGACGTGGGGAAATCATATGCACTTTGTGTAGGAGCATTGTTTGATGGAAAATCGTAAGATAACGGCACATTTGCACTAAGGTTTGTTGACATTGGAACAACTTTGTTTATGTCTAAACTATCAATTCCTTCATTCAACATTTTACTGTTTGGAGGAATATTTTGGTACGGTTCTTGTTGTTGCAGATATGACTTTGGCGGAGGTGGTCTAACCGGAGGTACATCGTCCATTTTTGGCAAATTGTGCGGATTTGTTGGAGGATAGTCATAAGTTTCGTCACTCACAACATTCTTTTCCGAACTTGTTGGAGGATAATCATATGTAAGGACTGACTGTGAAGAATAAGCCGAGTCTGCCTTATGACTCTCACTACTTGATGAACGAGGGGTACTTGGACTATGACGAGGGGGGTGACCTGGGGGTGGGACATCATACACATCTAAGGTAGAATCATCTCTCGATGATGACTCGGAAGATGTACATATTTTAGGAGCTGGCATAGTCACATTCATATCATGAGCTCTTGGTGGCATATCATAAACTTGAGAGTGAAACACATCATCCTCAATCACTTGGCCCCTTTTAACAGGTGGTGGTGGGGCTATTTCATCTGGTACACTATCTACACTGTCTGGCCTTAATAAAGGTGGTTTTCTTGATACTGTGCCAGTTCTACAATTAGTCAAGGGAACATAATCCCTGTCGGAATTTTTTCGATCTCGACTCTGTGGAACATGTGTGATTCCTTGAGTTGGTTGTGTAACTGGTTGTTTAATAATAGACGATGGCACATTTTGAATTGTAGTAAATGTATCACTGTCTTCTTCTCTCTGGGGTGGTAAATCAGAAGCTAAAATAAAACAATACAATAGTATAACAGACCTAGAACAGTTATAGAATTCAAACAAGTATTCAAAATAAAAGTCTTACAAATTTATGCTAACAGAGAATAACAAATGTCCAACATTCACTTGTAAATATCTGGAATACATATTTCAAAATTTCAGCTTAAACATTTTTAATCTGGTTACTCAAAGCAAAAATGAAAAACTTTCTAAATTTATTGAAGTAAAATTTGAAATTAATGTATTTTTTTATTTATTTATAGTCTAATAAGGTTTCAGTTCTTGCATCTATGATGTATATAATAATATGACTTCTATTACACCTCATTAGTATCAGACCATAGACAATACCACAAATATGACAAGTCTACAAATATGAATCAACAGACTTTGCATGTTACAATGATTTACAATAGAATATGTGGTAACTTTAAACTATATTTAAATCTAATTTCTAATTTACACACGAAGAAAATTATGATGATATTCTTTTTTTGCACTTAGTTCATGACTTCACATTAGGTTACATTAAACACCTATCAAGTGCCAGACCAACTCAAACAATTTCTGTGTATGCTTTATGCAACCCTAACTTACACTGTATAGAACAGCTATAAATCAACACTTTCTGTTGCAGACAAACCTCTGTAAATCAACACTTTACGAAGCACAGATGTTTCATGTGTTTTTTCCTTTTTTCATATTTCCTTTAAAATCTGTTTTTGTAGAATAAATCAGCAATAAGCTATCCAATGCTTTCATAAAATGACAGATTCTCTCCTGAGTTAGTCTATCACATTTCTTAATTTATAATGAGTTATTTAATTCCTGGAAAGTTTTCGCTTTTTAAACCTGTGAAAAAATCCTTTCATAATTTTTAACAAGAGTACACACCCTGATATGTCTAGCCTGCTTTACTTATCGTGATTGAATTTATGTTGAAAGTGTGTAATATGAAGGTTTTACTATAAGTTTCAAAAAAACTAACATTATCAATGATCATTGAAAATGAGGTAAAGGTCAGATGAAACCTGCCTGTCAGACATGTACATGTTACAATCATTACATACACCAAATATAGTTGAAACAAGGAATTATCTAAATCTGGAATAATTTTGAATTCTGGAAAATTGATAAGAAATGTACCATGAAAACTAACCAAACTAAAGAGGGTTAGTCATGCACACATTTCTTATCAATTTTCCAGGATTCAAAATTATTCCAGATTCAAATAATTCCTTGTTTTGACCTGTTGTTTATAGTATCCAAGATGAAAATGAGGTCAAGGACAATGGACATATGCCGTCCAGAAATTTCGTAACATAAGGCATCTGCATACATTAGGTATGAAGCATCTAGGTCCTCTACCTTCTGAAATATAAAGCTTTAAACAAATAGTTTTATGGTTTAACTAAAACTAGTCTGAACTACTTCAAGTCTATGCAGAGACATATATATCTCTGGTCTAAGCTATGGGATTAAAAATTTACTCAATGAGAGCAATACCAATCATGTTTACTGATTCTGCTGTCAATCAGAAATTTTTTTCTAAATAAAATTACATTCAGATGTATATGATGTATGCAAGTGCATTTATAGTCAAGACAAAAACAGCATTTCTTTTTTATTTCGTTTGTTCACTAGTTTTAAACCTTACCTTTCAGATGCAGATCCAGGATTCTGAAAAGGGGGGACCCCAACTAGAAGTGGAACATTTAAAAAGTCTATGCATTAACCAAATATTGAGTTTATAAGGGGCCCGCCGCCTGTCACCCTAAATATGTCTCCGACTTTCAGTATACTTACAGTTATCCTCTGGTTTAAGACCACATACACTACAGAGGTTTCGTACCCACGATGTCATTTGTTCCTCAGTGTCGGCAGCTAAGAAATACGTCCTTTCACGGTTCTTATGGTAAGTTTTAATGGCCAAGAGAAAGGGAAACAAATCTAAATCCAAAGATTCAATAATTTGTTCACAATGTTCAAGATCAATGTAACCTTTCAGCTTTTTTCCTTCTTCATTGTTGTAGTAGTTTAAAACATACTGATGAGGTAAGCTTCCTTGTGGTTTGAATAAAATAAAAAATCGTCTTTTCCATTTCTGAAAATAAAAATTACATAAAAAATATGAAAAATGATTAATTAATGGAAAAAAAAGAACGACAGGATATGTGTACCAGATCATCATATAAAAACATGAAATAATGCAGAAAAGGAACAGAGATTTTATTGCTGTTTTTCATCTCTTATAGTTCATGTTAATTGTTCCTTTAAGTTGAAAATAATGACAGCTGTAATACTGGTTACTGAGTCTTCCTATATAAATTCACAGAACAAAAAAAAAAACAACAGACACTTACATATACACAGCTGTTTCTTCAATGCTGATATTAACATTGAAAAAAAGAATTTTTACAAATTGCAATGTTCTAATTTCTATGTTACAAAATCTCAACCTTTTGCTTAGTTTAGTATCATCTCACACATATAGATGAACTTGAACTTAATTGTGTTTTAACTTTCTACACAGACATTTTTCTGTCCAATAATAATACTCATTTTTTCAAACTCAACAAATCTACAAAATTTTTCTAATATTAAAGTCTTAAAAAAAGTAAATCTCCTTGCTGGCATTCATGCAGGAAAACATTAAGGAAAAGTATAAAATATTTTCTCAGTTTCTTCTAGACATTTCCGTCTATTATTCAACAGAGGAAGTTAAAATTACCTTGAACTGTGTTGATCTTGTGTTTCAATATTATAAAGGAATAATTCTAATATTTCATGTATATGTTTGGAACTGAAATGAAAATGTTCTAAACTGTTCCAGTGACGTGACCTATTAAAATGCATATAGTTAACTTGTTGTCATTATACTTCAAAGACATCTTTGCAGACGGTCACTAACCTAAATAATAAATCCATCAAAAACATCATGTATCCTGCCTAGGTGATGTCTCCGATTTATTATTTCATGTCAGAACTTCTAAACTGTCCTGGGATTGATTAATTTTTGCATGAATTCCATTTAATTGTCTCATATATCTGTTACTTTTGTTCATTCCTTCAAAATCATTTCCATTTTGAATGCATTTAGAAATTATAATAAAGGACTCCAAAACATGGGATCAACAAAACATGTTAATTTACAGAGGTTAAACAGTGTAAGAAGGACCATGCAGGTATTTACTTCCATTCGTTTATATTCATGGGCACTAAGTTTGAAGATTGAGTAAAAATTGAATTTTTGTAGACATTTATAATTTAATGAATTAGAGAAATTCTGCATTTGAGTCTATTATATGAAATTCATTTTTTTTAAAACATATATATATATATATACATGTATTTCTGGTTCACCCATAACTATTAAATCCATGGAAACTAGTACACCACTGATAATTATGAAACCACAGTATCATGGCAAGACCAAATGACCATTCGTATTTTACACTGGAAGTCTGATTATCTTTCAAGATGTTGACTGGTTTGAATATATGGATTGGTTGTTCTTTGCATAATGTCAAGTGGCAAATATTTTGTGCATATTCAGGATAAAGACCAAATTAATAATACGTTGTACAAATGTTGTATATCCCCGAAATAGGTTCTACCAATTAAGTGCTGGTCAAGCAAGGGAGTTGTTAACTAGTAGATAATAAACAGAATATTTGTTTTCAAACTGTTCAACTGACAACTAACGAATGGACATTGAGGACCTTTGAAAATTCTAATAGTAATGAGTCCAGTGACTCATTTCACAAAAAGTCTTACAAGAAAATATACAATTTTTGTCATCAGATTTTTTGTGAAAAGAGGCCCAGGATCTTAACCTGTAGAACAATATTTGAATTAATGCTATTTCAATCAACCTTGGACTTAAGCAATCTTCCATTTATATGTACTCATAAAATAATATTGGTAGCCATTTATTCAATTCATCAACTGATAAAAGTGATGAATTTTTTGCAGACACCTTTCATTCACATTGAAGAAAATCCCTCAAAAATTTTACAACATGATTGATAGAATGATAGAATATACTATTATAATACTATTACAAGATGAGTATGCAAATTTCAAATAACAATGTATACATTCTTTATACAAGACAATATCCTGATTCAGACAGACATATTTCAAATTAGCTTTTAAAAGTTGCAATTTATCAAAAAACTTACTTTTCCTGGTGTCCAAATTAAAAGTGCAGGTAAACTCCCAATAACAAATTTTATTTTGGAAACTTATTACTACACAAATATCTCAGGTACTTTTTAAAAAAAGTCACAGTTTATCACTTGCCAATCTTGACACTTTCTTCATATTTTTAACAAAAATATTAAATTATATAGGATCAGCTTATGGTGTTATATTGACATCCTCTTTGGGAAGAAATATCCTGTATGAAATGATCATTAAATAAACGATAAATGACAACCTAGCAGTAATAAAAATCTTGTCCTTTTGTGCATTGTACTGGAGGACAAAATAACAATTAAATGTTTTTGTTGATCACGAACTACCCAGAGTGGTCAAGACAAATTTGTCACAATCCTCATTCAGAAAAGTTTTTCATCCATTATAAAATATGTATGTTTCAAATTAAAATTCACAAAGTAAAAAGGGTCCAATTCAACACATCATGCTTGTCCGTGATAAATCAACAGGTGTTTTGCTGTAAAAAATTTCACATAAATCGGGGAAAAAAACAACCCTGGACACTGTGATTTTTTTATATTAAAACCTGCGGTGAATGTTTACTCATACTTGACTGGAGGAGAAATGAGTAACCTGGTGGTTTATTTATACCCCCTCAGTCTTCCTAATCACCTTCATTTCAGTGAGTGGGTCATAATGAAAAGGATTTTTTTTCTAATTTTCCGAATTTGTCGAATCATGTTAAGCATTAAAGAAACATAATAATCGTATATCATATTTCTATTTGTCCACAGTTAATTTCTTAATGGTTAAAAAGGTAATCTTAGGACATAAAAAGGATAGTATTTTATATTTTACATGGTTTTATTGTTGGCTAGGTCAAATACCTTTCATCAAATTTCCACATACTAAACAAACATGTTTTCTATTGAAAAACATTTAAACATTGTTATGCTTACGTGTTTTTGCCACAATAATGAACAAATAAGCAAATCCTTAAGTAAAACAATGAAATTAACATGTTGTGACGATGAAGAAACAAATAAACAAACGTAATAAAGATTAATCAATAATTTGCATACAAGAATCGTGCTTGTAGTGCATCTTAAAGACCAGCAATTTCCAATTTAATGAATATGAGGAAAAGCATGTTGTACCTAGAAATCTTAAAAACTTAATAACCCTTTCTAATGAATTAATTTAAACAAAATTTTGTACCCCACTGTAGAAATAAAACTATGTACTGAAATGCTAAACTGTAAATTAATTACATAAAGAATGCATTGTGAAAAAAAGAATCATGTTTCATAATACATACCACGAGTACTTAGAGTGTTTCAGCTTCAAGTTACATACCGGTATGTATAAAAAAAAAACATTTACGGAGGAGTATTATCAAGGATTTATCAACTAGATTAAATTTTAAATATAACACTTACTTTGGTTGGCTGTTATAGTATTAAAAAAATAAATGGGGAATGTGTCCATGGGACATAGATGATGCCCCCGCTTGCTTATCATATAAATTTATAAAGGAACATAACTGAAGAACGGTAAAAGTGATGCTACCCAAATTTGTACCTGATCTGAGTTTTGTGGTAATAAGTATTATGTATAAGTTTCATAACATTTGGTTGAGGCTAACTTAAGTTAGAGAACGGAAACGAAAAATTCACCAATTTTTCCATTTGTAAAGGGCATAACTCTAGAACAGTAAAAGTGACACCATCAAAATTCAAACTTGATCTGTATTTTGTGTTAATAAGCATTGTGTATAAGTTTCATAACATCTGGTTGAGGCAAACTTAAGTTAGAGAACGGAAACGAAAAATTCAGCAATTCTTCCATTTGTAAAGGGGCATAACTCTAGAACAGTTAAAGTGACACCACCAAAATTCAAACTTGATCTGTATTTTGTGGTAATAAGCATTGTGTGTAAGTTTCATAACATTTGGTTGAGGCAAACTAAAGTTGGAGAACGGAAACGAAAAATTCAGCAATTTTTCCATTTGTAAAAGGGCACAACTCTCGAACGGTTTAAATGATGCCACCAAAATTCAAACTTGATCTGTGCTTTGTGGTAATAAGCATTGTGTAGAAGTTTCATAATATTTGGTAGAGGCAAACTAAAGTTAGAGAACAGAAACCAACTTTGGGACGACGGACTTACGGACAAGGGTAAAACTTAATGCCCCCTCCACTACGGTGGAGGCATAATAAATGGGGAATGTGTCCATGGGACACAGATGATGCCCCGCTTGCATATAATGTTATAAAGGGATATAACTCAAGAACTGTAAAAGTGATGCTACCCAAATTTGTACTTGATCCGAGTTTTGTGGTAATAAGCATTAGATCTAATTGTGTATATGTTTCATATTATTTGGTTGAGGCAAACTAAAGTTAAAGAATGGAAACGAAAAATTCAGCAATTTTTCCATTTATAAAGGGGCATAACTCTAAAACGTTAAAAGTGACGCCACCAAAATTCTAACTTGATCTGTGTTTTGTGGTAATAAGCATTGTGTATAAGTTTCATAACATTTGGTTCAGGCAAACTAAAGTTAGAGAACGGAAACCAATTTTTTGACATACGTACAGACGGACATTAGGGCAAAACTTAATGCCCCCTCCGCTATGGCCGGGGCATAACAAGAATGTGTCCATAGTACACGGACGCCCCACTCGCACTATCATTTTCTATGTTCAGTGGACTGTGAAATTGGGGTCAAAACTTTAATTTGGCATTGATATTAGAAAGATCATACCATAGGGAACATGTGTACTAAGTTTCAAGTTGATTGGACTTCAACTTCATCAAAAACTACCTTGACCAAAAACTTAAACCTGAAGCAGGACAGATGGACGGACGGATGAACAAACGAACGGACGCACAGACTGAAAAACATAATGCCCTTTACTATCGTAGATGGGGCATAAAAA